GCAGGGTAAGGTCAGCTAACCCGACGCTGGCGGGTAATTTCGTGAAGACACCCGGCTCCTGAGCCCGCGGTCGCGTGGCCTCGGGCGCTGCGGTGCGTGGCGCGACGCGATTGCCGTATCGCCGCTGCCAGGGGACGCTGTGACGTCCGGCAGGGTGACCCGTCCTCCTCCCGGGCGGGCAGCCGTTGGCCTTGGGCGCCGGCCCCCGGGACGGGCCGGTCCGGCGGGCACATCAAATCACATCGATTCCCTCGCTGACCAGGGGCCTTCTGACCGGCACAGTTGACCCCAGATCGATGCAAGAACCCTCATTGGTGCAACAGCAGCTCTGATCGTCGCGGGAGATTCCGCAATCGGCACATAGATTCCATTTCGGCTCAACGGGCCCATGCTGGAATTGGGTTAGGGGGCCCACCGCTCGGTGCAGAGGGTCCTGTCTGGCATGAACCCTTCCATTGCTTGAATGCAAACACTCAGCATAAGTTCTCATGTTTCCTTTCATTGTCAGAGGTTCCCGACAACGCAGGAGGCCATCTGTCATTCAGGGTCTCGTCTTCGTCCCTGTTGAGCACATTTCCCCTGGCCGACTCGAGACCCGTTGTTGACACCGAATACCCTGTTAGGCATTGTCGGCCCCTGAAAGATACAGGATCCCCACATTGTTGCAGGGGCACCGACCAGTGTAAATCGCAGGGCTGATGTTGTCTCGGTGTTGGTGATGTCTGGCCGAAATAGAAGAACGCTCTGTCTCAGGTGTCCCCAGTGGTTGCAGGAAGCCTTCTAGCTGACATTTGAGATCACGGCTCTGCGGGCGCCGGTCCTTAATGCGGCCTACAGCCAGCCCTCCGGGCCCTTCAGCCTTACAATGGGTCCTTGATCTTTGGTCTCGAGAGAGAGCCCCTTAATCTTCGGTGATGGCTGCTCAGGTCCCTAACAGTCAGGCATCCCGCGCTGTGCGATTTCACCGTTGGAGCTTTTGTCATTCTCAGCCCTGAATTTATCAGCGGACGCAAGCGGGCCAATCTGACCTTCGGCGGATGAAGTTGCATGGTCAGCGTCGAACTAGCCGCATGCACTGGCCTCGGTGATCGCTCGCCCACTGCGCGAGATGTGCCAGCTCCTGCGTAATACTTGAGACCTGCAGCACGGCCGGACCGAGGGTGTCTTCAACCAGTAGCGACTCAGTCGCTCAACTTAGCAGTTCAGTCACCATCGACTGACCAGGGGTCGATGAGGGATTGGAGGTTGCCAATGTTGTTGCAACATGCTTCATCAACCGAAAGGCCTTTGCATTTGTCCGGCATGTCATGAACGTCCCCTGTCTTCAAACAACACGCTGTCAAGGTGGGTGCGTGGCTTCCAAGTCCCAGCTCGATGCTGGCATCATCCATGCGGCACTCCGGCTGCTAAAACCGGCGGTGGAGACCATGGACACGCTGGAGTGCATCTGATCCTCTTTCGGCGTTAGCGAGATGACATGGCACGCTCAGTAGCCGTATAACTAAAGCTTGTTACCAAACGAGGAATATCGTTGTTAATTCATCTGCTGCATTCAATATGAATAGCTAAAAGGTGATGGGCATGGTTTGTGTTGCGCTCTTAAACCGCATTTACCCTTAGGATCAAATAAGTCTTATCTAGTATTTGCTGGGCAAAGGTGGAGCAAACCAGCAGCACCTTTTGCATCATTAAACTAGCAGCTGCCAGGGCCTAGCCCTGGTGAATAACTAGGCTGGGCCCAGTAGGCCCCAGTTTACATTAACTTGACTGTTCCCGTTAGATGGATCAGGGGGCGGGAGACAAGCCCGCACTCGTCCCAGCACACCGCCCTAGGCTACATCGATGCGACCGTTTTGTCCCGTCGGGCGATCTGCCAGACCGGGGCCCAACCAAAATGCCAACTGGTGGCCAAAAGTTCCATGGATTGACTTGGGTTTAGTTCCCCGGGGGATGGCAGTTGTGATGCACCGAATAGACTGGTAACGGGGATGTAGTTTTGAGTCCATCTAGTGCTTTCGAAGTCATTAATTGATCACTGTGCTTAGTGCTTGTCTGGCGTAAAACGCTGCGAATTGTCCTCGAATTGCTTGCTTCCTGAGTCCTACATTACCGCCGCGGTGAATGAGTTACCTTCAAAATTATGCTTAAAGGCAAACTTTTGCATTCATTAATAGCTAATTTTTTTCTTACAAATCATTCCACCCACCAACTGCGCCGTGATACATGCAATCTTTCATGTCTGTTAGCACGCGTGGGGCCGTCCCAGCGTTGAAGGTGTACCCCTGTGGGCGTCACTTAGTGGTCTTCGCTGAAAAGTGCGTTGTCGGTACAGTTCCACCCGATGTATGTCGCCTTGCCGAAATAGTTTTGGTGGAAGCAGAGCAGGGTAGCGTTGGAGTACTCTGTCCACCCATTATGAACTCATCCCATCGTTTTTTGAGGGGAGCGGTGGGAGGGGATGGACGGCAATAAACCATTCGTCTGCGTGGGGCATACGCTGTTAGTTTAGCAAACTTTGCGACTTCATTTGGTTGAACACCACGTATCCACAGCCGCTGAATTCTAAGCTCGTTTTGGGAAGTGCCGTAGAATACTATTCCTAAATGTACTATTTTACTGTAACCATAAGCTCGTGACGCTTTTGTTTGTTTTTTATGAGCATCCATTTATTGACCCTGTGTTTCCAACTTGAAGGTTCCTGATCGCCGCCAAACATGGGCTTAACCCCCCCCCCCCCCTCCAACCCCCCCCACCCCAACTTGGGCTTCAGCCTCCCTCCTAACATGGGTTCCAGCCCTGTGCCAAACTGAGAAGTTAGGGATGGTGGCATAGATTTTGGGGTGGGCATAATTTTCCATTGGACCTCCTGGGAAGTGTCTAATTTGTCGGGGGGTGCGATAAGGGCATGTGCCATTATCAAATTGTTACATGAATTGTATCCAAGTAAGTGAATGATATCAGTTAAAAGTCTAGAAAGATGCATTCTGATTGTCAACCAAGGGGTCTTGCTATCCTCGAACAGGGCCTCCTGTTCCAGAAATGGGGTGCATGATAAATATAGGGCATCCTAATCCAGAGGGGTAGCTTCTGATTGATGAATGGGCCTTTGATACCAGCCAAGGGGTCTCATTATCCCAAAACAGACATACCAATCTGGAACTGGCCATCTGATCTATGATAGGGTATTCTGTTCCAGAAGTGGGGCCATTAAATGTAGAGGTTGCCTCTGAACTGCAAACAGGGGCCTCTCATTTTGTAATTGGGGGCCTCTTGAGCACATAGTAAAGCCTGCTTACAATCACATTGGGCCATATCCTGAGCATGAGCTACCTTAATTATCAAGGTGGCCTCATGGTTCAGAACACAAAACTCTTGATGTGGAGAAGGTTATTCCATGCCAGGTGGATTTTTCTCTAGGTTCATTATGGGGCCTCCTTAAATCAAGCAAAATTCAAACAAATTAGCCTGGAGTGTCTGGCACATACATGTCAGCTTCAAGTCACCGATGTGATGAAGCATATGGAGTCAGCGGGCATCCCATTTAGTGTGGATATTTTTTTATGTGCACTGGGCAATACATCTGTTTATGATAGTTATTTTTGCAGCAAGTTTTACCAAGAAAGTGCACAGTGTTCGGAAAAATTGCCATCTCCTGGTATAATGTATGCCAGGAAATTTGGTACTCCAGCATTGTGACTAGGTAAAATGAAATATTTTGTACTCCACTCTGATGAAAAACACAGGCTTTGGAAAAACTAATTTTACCTCTGTTTCAGGCAAAATGAAATCAGTAGATGCAACAGCTTGAGACCTGCTGACTCCATCATGAGCCATATATTGATATCTGCAAGACCACAAATCCTGCATCCACCAGACTTGGAACAGGCTGTGCTGTGACCTAGCTATACAATAGATTATGCATGTGAATGTGGGAAATAAAGTGCGGGAATGATAAATGGAATCGTCTTTGAATGCCAGGAAGTCAAAAACTAGAAGAGAAATCGCACCGGTCTGCCAGTTAGCAAAGATCTCACTTTGTACGCCTTACTCAGCCCTTCTCAAAATCGAATACCAATTCATCTCCCTCAACGACGAACCGCACCGATGGCCAATGGTGCAGCGTACCGCGACAAACAACCGTAAACACAATACCTTACCACGTACAACCACCTCACGCTCCGCCTCGATGTCCGCTCCTAATTCAGCGTCGCAAACGTCTCACTTATTCAGTGGCTTATGCTCACCTAGTTCAGGATGCAGCTTGGACATCGCACAACTCTCCAATTGGTTGATAGGAAACGCCCTCTCGTAACTGATTTGTCAACAGCTTAAATTTTGTGCTCGCAACCGCGTCTTGAACAGATACCACAGCGTTACGAAGTAAGCTGTATAGAGATGGGCAAATGTAGAGTGGGCACTTCTTAGGGCTCTTGCAGAAAAATGGTACTTGTCCAGGAGCGCCATATGGTTGGATTTCTTGGCACTTCCTGGTATCCGGAGTACAAAACTGTAAAGGTACCTGTACAGTTAAATAATGTTATTTTTACCATTTAAGGGTATCAAATTAAAGCTGATAATTTGACCTTAACTGAGAAATCCTCTTAGGTCGAAAAATATTGATATAACTAAGAAAAACCCGCTCGGAGACTGCCATCTCACTCCGACAAAAACACCAGGAGAATTGAGAGGCATGAGTCCATTTCTTTGGCCTCGCAAGCTGATATAACGCATCTATCAAGACAAAAACACAAATCAATTGAAACATACACTAATTTTGTTTGCAATGATGTCGGTTAAAGCGCACCGGAGGCTATCAATACCTTGTAATATCCGCCGGAGTCAGCGGAGTGCTAAGCTCGGAGGCCATTTCGCCGGCCCGGCGGGGGCGTCAGGCATTGTACTCGCGCTGTGTTGGTAAACCGGTTAAGAGTATTGCCGTCTCTATTGGCTTGCTGAGGCCTGCGGACCCGCGTGGGTCGTAGAATCCGACGAAGGCGAAAGGGGGGACGGGGAGAAGTGGGGGCATCAATCCTTCACATCATTTCACCACATAACTTCGATCTGGTTGTTTGACCAGGTGTGATTTGAGGTGCGTACTTGATATTGAGAGCCACGTGATGCTATGGGCAGTTTTTATTGCCAACGAGGCCATGCTTGTGTGTATTTCTTTGTTTCTTTGTGTCCGCTCCCATGGAGAGAAAACCAAATTTCAGTAACAATGATGCTTCAAACGATCCACAATCTTAGAGGGAAGGGTGGTCCGAGTGGATAAGTATAGCCTTGTTCATGGGCTTACTGTTAACATTGAAAGTGTGTTGGCACAATACATCACATGTGTGTGATGATAGTTTTCCCTTCCCCAGGACTACATGAAGGCTTGCCCAATGACTAAGACTTGCTGGATGATGTGCTTAACAACATGTCTCTAGGTATGGTCAAGGCCCTGTAACCACAGTACAGTTCTGGATGCATGAGAGTGCAGAGGAAGCAGGCCTTTTTCATTCTGTTTATGACATCAATCATTGGAATATATCATGTTCTGTGTGTGGAAATTCATGTGCAGGGATACCATGAATATCTTAAGGAGGTACTCTGCTCAACTTAGACCTGAAAGTTACTGTGCTTTAGTTGTTATCATTGACTTGGCTGCTTATCGCTATTTCAGTCTCTGATTTTTGCATTCTCACAAAACGCAAGTTGTAATATATAAAAACTACTGGCTCCATGTCCATAAAAACTACTTAAGGCCCTTCTTGCTGAAGTGAAGCATTCATGACATAAATTTAGGAGTCATTATATTAACCTGGTTTTAAATGTGCAGCAAATCAACATTTTTGTGCCAACCCCTTGTTACAGACAGGCATTTGTAATCATTGGTTATAAGTATTATGCGTCTCACAAGTGCTTGTTTTATGTGAATGCATGCTTTTGGTGTTCGGGATGTGGTTTTCTCACCGGCATTGCTAAGAGTGATGGGAATGCTCGGTACTAAGCAAGAATGGTGATCCTTCATGTGCTGTGAAATTGCTGGAAGCTGGTGGAAGTTGGGGCACCACGCTGCTTTGCTGCCCTGCATGGTTCTGTGATGGTGTAAACAATGCTTTTTCATCATCTGGCCACATTCTTGTGGACATAATTTTTTGTTGTTGATTGGGTTATTCATGTCAAGCACTGTGAGTCTTGCAAAAGCTCTTATGTCAGGTTGATGCTGAACTTGTGCAGCACAATGAACTAATAAGCTGAGACATGCTTGATTAATTATAACAAAAGCCAGTTAGCTACATACCAGGTGTAAAACTTCCATCTCACCCAGCAGTAAATCTGATGCATCTGTGTTTGAATCCCAGCATAAAATAACCATTAATTTGAGTGGTATTGGAATGGTGTGCCACTGGTAAAAGTATAAGTAAAAAGTGGAATAGTAAAAGTAAAAGTAAAATTAGCTGTGGTATAACCATCAGGTTTCCACCTGTTTTCCACTAGCACAATGGTTTGTAGCATGCCCACACACCTTGGAATAGTCATAGTTTAGGTGATAGTTATCCAAACTGTTGTGTCCTAAATTTTGTGTATGTATTTGTTATGCATAATATCTGATAGTTGGCTGTGCATGCTTACATGGTTGGGGTTGCCACAGGAAAAGCAGATGGCTGCTGTTCTTAAATTACTTGTTGGTCCTCTGTTCAGTTTGAGGCAAGGGTATATCAACCTTTTGGCCAAGAAAAGTTGATGGGATCACAGCCCCCTCCACAGCTGCGTCACAAAACATGGCACACAAGTTTACCCTGCAATGTTGATGCTCATGCCTCCATGTCTTTGGCACTTCACCTAAGGGTCCATCCAGTTCCAGCCGGGTTTCCCAGGGACCCATGCACGTAGCCAGAACTTCCCTCAGGAAGGGGAGCAGATGTCAAATTTTGTCCGGACTCCTGCAAATTTGAACTGGATGGATGCAAAGTTGTTCAATATGTAGTGTAAGCCTCTTGGCTTGGGGGTGGGGTGGGGGGCTAGCCCTCGTGACCCACGCCTTAGCTAGGTACCTGCGGCGACCGGGGGTTGGTGCGGCCTGGATGTCGTGCAGAAAGTACCAAATACATCTACAAATAATGTACTCACATCGCTGGTACGATGTTACCGTTCTTCACGTAGCTCCATCACATGAGGCAAGCGCTCCAGCGCTTGCTTGTTTAATGGTCGGTGTTTTTTGCAGACAGAGTGGCGATAAATCCATGTTCATGTGTTCATTTGATCTTCCACATTGGGTTCGAGGACACTCCAGGCTACATGCTACTGTGTGGTTGCGGTGGCAAAATTGATAACGAGAATCACACTAACGTCCAAATAAAAGCGATTTCGCCGCCCCCCCCCCCCCCCGGCCCGCGTAATGTGTAATGCATTGTTTGTACATTCCCACGTAAGGTGTAATGCAGTGTTTGTACATTTCCACGCCATGTGTAATGCATTATTTGTACATTCCCCCATAATGTGTAATGCAGTGTTTGTACATTTCCACGTCATGTGTAATGCGGTGTTTGCACATTAGCATATAGCCCAGTTCCTGTTGTGGCCCAGCTGCTATCTGCCGCTGGCGGCCCGCCAGTTTGTGTGCCAAGCTGTTCCTGAGGGCCCACCTGCTGGCTACGTTCCGTGTACGTGTGTTGAACTGTCCGACGTACTTGTGTCGGCACGTTGTGGGTTTCGAGGCCTTGCTTTCGTGAAGCGCGCTTCCTATGCAGAGATGCATGGTAAATACATGGCCATTACATTGTGCTAAGAGTCGATTGTCCACGAACGTGATTGTGGGTGGTTTTGAAGTTGTTTGAAAGCATAACGACTTTTCAGTTTGAGTCACTCATCCTCGATATTTCGGTATTCGCACTGGGAATACGGGGTGGCACTGACAGACTTTTATTGAGATGCTCGTAATTGACTGGCAGCTATTACCATCTTCCATCGAAAACAAAAGGTAGTAACCTGAGGTGTGAATCACACAAGGCAATACAGGAAAAGCAGTAGTCATCAAACACGGAACACGAGCATACCAGCCAAGTGATACAGGTCAAAATCTAGCAGCGTCAGGAGGAGCGCACATGTCGGCACGACGGAGGCTGTACATTCGACAGACGTCGTCTCAGGCGGCGACTGGAAAGCGGCACAGGAAACCGACGGAGGTCGGGTGGCAGCACGATGAACTAGTTCGAATAAGGGCAGCAGAAGCGGCTCCAGCCCATCTCGCGAGGCCGGATAACATACAGCTGGCGGTTGGTCCGGTCCCGGGTCTCCGACACGGTATTAAGACGTCCAGCCAACTCAACTATCTCGCCGCAACGGCGCATCTCGTGCGCGAGATGCAGTGTGTGATACACAGGTAGGGCCTCTGCGCCCAGCTACCCCAGTCTCGTTAGCAGATACGATGCATGGCCGTATTTCTGGGGCCGAACATTACATTCGCTGAGTAGTTCATAACTTTTTCGGCGAGACGGGTTGTTTTTGGTACTCCTACTATATGCTGGTATACAGAAGCGGGTCTGCGAGAAGACGGGGGCGCCAACCGGCTCGGAGGTGGTGGTACGTCTTAGCGCCACACGCCCTGTGAACAAGAGAACATATGGTAACCAGACAGATCAATGAAACTGGCACCAAGAAGATGAGGTAAACGGGTATTCCGAAACTGCTCAGAAGAGCCAAAGAAAAGACATTAGCAAGCATAGTGTGGGATCCCTGGTAATAATGAGATGATGCCGTGCAACAACGGCATGGCTGATCATTACAGTGAAAGTGACGCAGGCTGGTGTGAATGTAATCACACCTTAAATATTACCCACTGGTTCTGGAGAGAATGTATGGTAAGCACAATCACAAATCACCAACATCTTAATGTCTTGGAAAGTTTGGATTGACATACGGCGGCGACAAGTGATCAAAGCACAGAAGTCTACCCGCAGGTCGTGGGCCTAGAAAATTGTCCGCCTCGGTTGAACACGTGCCTTGCGTTCTGCAAGATCCGAAGGCCGTGTAAGATGCCAAACGAGCGGGCATCGCCCTTAACGCTTTTTTTTCTTCTTTTTGCTGCCGCCTACCGGTCGGTGTCCGGTGGTCATACCGGAGGTAATTATGTGTCTGCTGTGGTGTGCGTAATGTCATTCACTGGGGTTTAGCCATTGGCTGACCACCCTGCCGCAGGTCATTGGATGTCGAATGATGTTAAATGTCAGCCGAGCTTCACAGCGCACAGCATGCGTGCTTAGATATGCACAGGGCGTACCCCTTCAGGGGCATATGCTCTCCCTGACAAAATCATGACATGTTTTAAGATTTGTGTGAACACATGTTAAAAATTAAAAATCTGAGGACAGCAGGTAAAAGCAAACAAATCAAAAACATATGCTCTATGCCATGGAAGGAATGTTGTGCCCTCCTTTACCATAGATTGCCTTTATCCACGGTATGGTAAGCCATTAGCACTCATATATACATACATGCATTTCATGTCGTAGAGTTTGGGACTGCACTGTTTCGGTGTATCATGTTTAAACTGATGTCTTCTTTAACTTGCATTTCTTTCATGAACTGATGTACATCAAACATGGCCTTCTGTTAAGTACAGCCCATTGCACTGGAGTCTCCCAATGGTAAGCTTAATAACTGTGATGACCCACAGCACTTTAAAAAAAATTGTACTCCACTTGAGAAAATTTGTACTCCTGCCAGCCAGGAACTTTTTTGAAATTTCCAACCCTGAAAGTGCATTATAATGGAAGCTGTTATGTCATGTTTTCTTGCTTTACAGGGAATTGATCCCATGTTACCAATGTCCCCTGAGATTCAAGACTACTATCAATACTTGCTTGGGGATGTGGAACCTCCGCCAGGACCCATCGTCCTCCCACATGATGTCACTCCCAGTGCATTATCAAAGGTAGGATAGACAGGTGGGAGCAATGGTACTGCTTAGAAGATGGCTGCACTTTGAGAATGTAAATTTCACACTGCTGGATGTTTACAATGTGCTGTGGCCACTGACATTCACCAACTTGTGAAAATCAAACATCAGTGCTATGGATATTGGGAAAGCAAAAGCTTGAAATTGTGATCTTCCCCAAGATTTTGCCCGTAGCAACACCCTCACGAAGATAAGACCATGGATATGGGACCTTGTTGTGTGGCATGATAGTTTCCAATGACTGGGGAGTGGCAATATAAATGATCATGTCAGGAATACATGTGGTTGTGTAATGTATTGGTCTTGGGCATAGCACTGTTGATGTTTCCACAGATCATTTACCAGACACTGGTGAAGAAAGCATCCTTGCTGGAAGATACACACCATGTTCAAATACTGTACAGTGCTTGGGCGGTTCTTAATGATGCCTACACGCCTGTCAATGCCTCACATAGATCAGTGCAGACTGAGATCACGCTCGGCCCAGCCGGGCCCTGGGCGCCCGTGCGTGAGTCGATGACACAGACGGCTGAGGTCGTGCCTGAGCGGCCGGCTGTGCGACATTGGGCGTCGCAGACCGCAGGCCCGGAAAGCCTGAGAGACGCTCCCTCACAGACAACCGCGCAGCGAAGCCCCAAGGATGCCGCCTCGCAGACGGCCACTCAGCAGACGACGTGCAGCTCATCGCAGACAGCCAGCCTGAGCAGCGTTCGAGACCGGAGCTCGCAGACAGCCACTCAGCAGACGACGTGCAGCTCATCGCAGACAGCCAGCCTGAGCAGCGTTCGAGGCCGGAGCTGGCAGACAGCCACTCAGCAGACGACGTGCAGCTCATCGCAGACAGCCAGCCTGAGCAGCGTTCGAGACCGGAGCTCGCAGACGGCCCTGCCGCGGAGCGTGCAGGACTCAGCCTGCCAGACGGCAACCGTGCGAGACCCACCCGGCCCCGCCTGTCAGACGACCGGCGCGCCCGACTGGCCAGCGGCGGCGGCGGCGGACCGAGCTTCCCAGGCGGAGCCGGCGCCCCGGCGCACCACCTGTACCCAGGTGCGGCGGCACCACCTGGTACCGACCGGCAGCCAGACGCAGCCGCAGGAGCAGGCCGCGGCCGGCGCGCAGACGGCGCGGCCGCGGCCCGTCTGGGTGTGCCGCCTGGTGAGCGGGACGCGCGCGCCGCCGGTCGCGCGCACCGTGTCGCGCCGCTTCCACGGCCGCCGGCTGCGCGGCAAGGGGGACGAGGCCGTGCCGCCGCGCGAGATTCCGCTGCGACGCGCCGACTCGCCAGGCGCGACGCCGCCCTGCGATCCTCGTGCGGTGAGTGGTGTGGGCTACCGGAGGCGGGGTGGCAGCGCGGCAATGCTCGTGATCTGCGGTGGCGCGCTGATTGATGGGCATTTGGCAGTCGTGTGTCACCAGCGAGCACAACTTTCTGTGCGCGACTTTGGACAGTCATCATTCCTCAAAACTAATCGGCGTTGCATGGTCGCCCTCCAGCACGGCGATACCCAGCGCCCTCCGTTCTGTTAACATCTTCAGGCTGATTGACAATATTGTCGTTTGGTCGAATACGACTTCAAAAGGGCAGCGATGTGTTGAATATGCAAGTTATATTCTTGGTATTTTGATCATTTTCGGGAATTGCCTTCACCATTTGCACGTCTTTGTCGATGTTTTGGTTTGAAATGTCAGGTGGTCGGTGCGGCGGGTAGCACATCCCGGCGTCAGACCGACCACCACCGTTACCGCTGCAAGCCTGCCGGTCTTTAACCGACCGCCATGGGCGACACGTGCGTGACAGGCGGGCGCTGGGCTGGGGCGTGCCAGCCGCTCGGAGCGGGCCGACTCCGACTCGGCCAGCGTGACGTCACTGACGGGCCGGCCGACGGCCTCGCTTTCCGTCTCGTCCGGTGGCGAGCCAGAGTCGGCCGCGCTCTCTGGCGAGCTCGTCTCGCCAGAGGCGGCAGCCGACGACCCAGGGAGGCGCGGGCCGGACCTCTCTCCGGTACAGGAGATGTCAGGTGGGAGTCGATGGTCTCGTCCTGGCGCACCGTGGCTCTATGCATGAAATATCGCTGTCTTAATTCGTTCCGTGCTGCAATGACAGCTCGAGCTTTCTTTCACAAAATCGGAAATCATCATCATCATAAGGACCACCATTATTTTGTTTCCTTTGCGTTACATGTCTTATGACTGGCAGCTTGTGGTGTCCCCACCTGCTATGCACTGCTGCAGTCTGGTTCGTCCCGGCCTGATTCGTGCCATGATAGCCATGTCGCGTCCTTGTGTGTAGCGTCCGCTTCCTCTGCCAGGCGTCACCGCCCTTGTATCTCATTTTCCCCGGCGCCGCGTGGTGTTCACCGCCCCCCCCCCCCCCCCCCCCCGCCGCAGAGCCGGCCAGCCCGCCCGACGGCATGAGCGACGCTCTACTGGTGGAGCTGGATACCCGGCGCAGCTACCTGTCCGACCCGACGCTTGTGGCTTGCGACACCGCGTCGCCGCCCGCCGCCAGCGCCACCTGCGAATCTGGCACGGAGATGGATGTGGACTGAGACGGGCGCCGACAGAGGGCAGCACGAAACGTCACGCCCGCGGGGTCGGTCGCTGGTGCGCGCCGTGTGGATGGCCATTACCGTCGGACTGCTTAGATTTTGTAACACCGGCGCTGATCTCACAGACTCAGGACCCTGTTACCTTTGCGTGGAGATTTCGTTCCGATCCCAGCAAGAGCTTTGCAGTAGCATCATTGAAGTGGTTTTATATGCACGCATTCACTCATCATCACGTGCAACGACGAGCACAGTGTTGTTTTAGCATAGCAACATGAAGTGGCCGGACAGTGTACAGCACCTACCTCTACAGTGTGTGCCGCTTTGGAGGCAGCGTCGCGTGAGTAAGCGAACAAATGTTTCGTGCGCGCACCATTCGCATGCAAGACGTTGAAATCAAAGCATTCAATTGTTTCGGCTTCGGGGGCATGACCCGCCTGCCGGAAAGCGCACATCGGTAAAACCAATGCGTGCAAATGTCTATAGACGTCAGTCATCGGCTTTATGATCATAAACTGCCGCCATTGGACCTGGCTTTGTGCCTAAGCTGTATTGACTTGTCGATTGGTTTGCTCACCTTTGCTTGCTTACTACATATTGCGCTATGATATATGACCATGCACGGTACACGCTCGGATCCCTGGTTGAGGTCGTTCTTGCACTGAGGGGATAGGCCAAAATGCAGGATGAGGGCCTGGACGTAGGACTTGTTGCCCACGTGGCCCTTGATGAAATTGAACTTTTGAAAGGAAGGCCTCTCCCGACGTTGAACGATGGCGATTACAGCATGTCGCACGCGGCTGCATGCCGCCAGCGTCCTCCGCGTTGCTAACCTAAGATCTGGCACGCAAGCCGAAGTCGTGTCGTTTGCTGTGTCAGCTGAAGAGTCGGAGGGTTGAGGCATTAATCCAGGCGTGCGCGGTTTTGGAGTCCAGCGCGATGAACAATGACGAAATCGCTCGAATACAGACGCTCCTGCGTGTGCTGCTGCTGTGACCTGCGCCCGCGTCACGGTGCGCCCGTTAGTTCGATCCTGGTAGGCTCTCAACCCCGAATGCAAGCCATGGAATGTGGGAAAGTGCTGGGTATTCCATCACTCGACGTGCGGCGTAGCGCCCTTTCCGGTGCAAGATCTGCGGAACGATTGCTGAGTGTGCTTTGATATTGTCCCGCTTAGATTGGGACGGTCGGTTAGTGCACGGTGAGGGTAATGACGGCGAAATGGTAGCGTGTTTCGTTGCAGTATTGGTCAGCGGAGTCGGACCAGACCATTCATGAGCAGGAGCCGGACCCTCGGCGTACCTAGGACCCGGAGAGCTGTCGTAAACAGACACCCGACCCAGCTCCAGGCGGCTGTGCCTTTCTCAGGTAATCAATAACAACGCCGCCAAAACCGCCACTTTGGCGGGCGACATGACCAATCACGTCACGGAAGTCCCAGTATCGGTATATCAAGTATTGATTGCGGTCCACACCCTGTGCGTCAGCTTGTGTGTTGACAGACGCCTCCAGGGGCGTCTCAGGCGGCGATGAGTCCGATTGATGGATTTCATACTGGATAGGCTGGGGGCGAGTGATACCGCCTGAAACAGGCTGGCGCCAACGGCAGCGGAGAACTCCAGCGAGTACGGCCGCTTATAAATAGTTCGGTTGAGACTGGTGATCGCGCCCAGCATACCTGGGCGTTCGTCGCCAAACGGCCCAGTTTGCCACGTCACCGGTCCCAGCGGTGCGCCCTGGCCCAGTCCGTCACGTCACCGGTCCCAGCGACGAGCCCTGGCCCAGTCTGTCTCGTCACCGACCCCAGCGATGTGCCCTGGTCCAGTCTGTGTCGTCACCGACCCCAGCGGCGCGCCCTGGCCCAGCCGTGGGGGGCGTGGCGCCTCCCCGCGGCTGAGCACGAGACAGTTTGCCGGGAAATTGGTGCGGCCGCGCGGCCCGCCGCCGCCATCGGCCGCCGTTGGGGGGGGGGGGGGGGGGGGACGTGGAGCGGCGGCGGCCGCGGCGGAACGCCTCCCGGGGGACCACACCCCTGCCGGCGCCGTATTGGATCCGGGGCCGCTCGACGGCCGATTACGGGGCCGAGCCGCCGCCGACGGCCGGGTGGCGGCCGATTAACGGTGGGGCCGGCGCGCAATCGTGCCGCACTCGGACCGGCGGGGGCCGGCGCGGCGTGCGGCGGCCCGCGGGGGCGCATGGCGCGCGCGCAGGAAGGTGCGGCGAGCTACGGTCCGCCGCCGGGAGCGCAGAGCGGGGACAGGGACCATGCCCTCCGGCAGTAGTCACGGGCGGCTACGCCTTGGGAACACACCGAAATACCTGGAGAAGTAGGTTGGTACGTGTAAAAACTGGAGACAGCGCATGCATTTTGCGCAAAAATCCGTGAGTGTCAGACAAATACTTCACTTTTGTGAAAACATTCTGCCCAGACTCCCCTCATTGTCGGGAAGCCCGTTTATATGAGGCGTTACGGTCGGGACAGAGGCGATCCCCCAATACTGTTGGGATACGAATGGCGTTTTGAGTTTCGTTCTCAAGTTACACCGATGGCTCGAGCCATTCAGGACCGGCAGCCGCGTCAGCGCGTGACCTAACCCACGCATCATGCCTGATGAAAGGGGAGCCTTTCATGGTGGGGCGCCGTCGTACAGTACGCGGTGCTTTGCCCATCGCCTGTTTCCTCGATTTCGGGCGAATTTCGAGGAGGAGCGGTGTGGGCCGCCGTTTGCGGTGGCGGGGCGCGTTGGCCGTCCCCAGCGCTCGGTCCGACGGTGGCAGGTGACGCCGCGACGGGGGACGCTTTGACGGCACGTGGGAACTGGCACAGCCGCTGAAAAATGCATGGCCCGGCCACGCGGGCGGCCGGCGGACGCGTCAGGCGCTGTCTTGCAGCTCGGCCGCGGAGCTCGTGTCTGACGAATGGGCTGCGGAAGGAGGCACCCTACCCTGGCTGCACCACCGGCGGCTGAGGGCGGGGTGTGAGATGCCTTGGGTCTGGTATTTTGGAGCGTGACGGGACGATGTGTAGCAAATGTGCTGTTGGCCCATTGCTGCATTATTTGTGATCGGACTAGTAAAAACAGGAAAACACAAACCCTGTTTTGTATATTCAAGAACGCTTGAGACTAAATATCGCCTTTTCGCTCACATCTCGGTAGGTACATTGGAAGGTGTTGTCACATTGCCGCTCGTTTCATACCAACTAAATTGTTATGAAAGGTCAGCTTCTGATCTTTACACCTGCGCCGCTTCCTCCATCTCTGAAGCCCGGAATTTGCGGCGAAGAACTAATTACCGGGGATTATCCACATTTGTATGGGGCTTGGAACTAAAATGGCTATCTCGAAGGTGATTCAGTGCAGTTGACAGCCCTGCCCTTCTCATGTCCTAAACCCCTCTAGCTTCTGAGCTTCATGCCCTCAAAGACGTGCAGACTATTTCGTGCAGGCCAATCCAAGG